TATATACACACACACACATATATATATATATATATATATATATATATATATATATATATATATATATATATATACACACACACACAATAATCCTCTTTGCTTATTTTATTAGACTTATACCCCACCTTTCATTCCAGAGCATAATGTAAGTAGAGCATTCCCTCATATTTGTGCCCTCAACAAAACCCTGGAAAGTAGACTAGGCTAAGAGAGAGCAATGGGGTCAAAGTCACCCATCTGCGGCTGAAGAGGGATGAGAACCTCAGTTTCCCCATTCCTAGACCAACACCCTAAAAAACATATCAATAGAATATTTAGTTCTTTAAGTGTACCCAGCACCATTCTGTGACTTTTTCTATTATATATGGGGAAGAGTATTGTTTTTCATTTACCAGAAAGTCTCCCTTTCCTTTCAAAATAAAGAACCTGCATCAGCCTGAACAAAAGATGAAACCCTTGTTTTGAAAAGTATGCAGTGTGTTGCTCAGGATTATATTTACAGAGTAATGCTGCATTAGATATACTGTAGATATACATGCTTCTGCATATGCACACTCAAGGAAGAAGGAATGTACTGGGCAGTAACTTTGCAGTGAAATAAAGTTCTCTTTATAATAATAGTTTATTAATTGCTGTTTGGCATCACTTTTATAAGAATTGTTACAGAACAAATGTGCAATGGATTTTTGATAGAGGAGATATCCTCTAAATACATTGCACAAATTTTACAAGGGAAAATTTGTATTTTAAATTATTTGCAATGAGTAAGGGATTTCCTAAAAGGAACACTGATTTTATACTTTGACTCTTGGCTAATGTTGCAGGTAACAAAACCAACAGGAAAGCATTTGGAAAAGTCAACATCCTTCTGGCAAATATGACAAAAAGATGACAGAGCTATTTTGACGTTATTTTAGGATTACAAATCTTAACACTGTTTACTTTAGATACATATTTTCCTTGTATTATGTGTAATCTTTTTGTTCAAAAAACTACTTCATTGAGTTTGTTATCACAAATAATTTCTGAAGTACCCTCAGATTAATGATTGATGAGACAAGAGAGAAAGAGGGAGGGAGGGAGGGAGGGAGGGATGGAGGGAAGAAGGGAGGGAGGGAGGGAGAGAGAAAGAAGGTCTACAGAATAAATTTTATTATTCTTCAGATGCTGGCCACTTAATTTCAAATGCTGACACTGCTGGTAGGTACAACTTACTACCCAGTTTCATAGTCTAGTTCTTCATGGATCAGAATGCCTCTATGACATAAACACAGAAAAAGAAACAAAGAATGGTTTAAATTTCAGAGCAACATAGTGAGAAATAGCTTGTCACAAAAAAAGCTAATATTTCTAATCAAAACATTTACACTTCAAGCTGGTTTGGATTAAAACAATGAAAGAAAATCCCTTTCAATACATATGAACCAGCATTTAAATTATCTCTTGAAGATAATTACATATGCGTACTATAGTGATTCAGAACATTGATTTTTAAGGTTTTAGGTGGGTCCTTTTACTAGATAAATAGTACTAAGCCAAATATGCTTGCTCAAGAAGTTGCATCTCGCAGCCCAATCATGTGCACCTGAAAATCAGTGAGGACTATTACGATACTTTACAGACTAGCCACATTATTAAGGCATAAAGCATTCATGGAATACATCCTATTTCAGCAGATGTATGAAGTATTTTTTCAGGGATAGGAACAGATCCATGGTTACCAGGGGGGTTATAAATAGTAAGATCACAGTGCACCATTTTGTGTGTGTGTGCGGGTATGTGTATGTGTGTGCGCACACATGTGCTTGTACGAGAGAGAGGGAGAGAGACTATATATATATATATACTCACCTAATTTATAAGGAATTATTCACATCATATTCATATACTTTAAGAGCTATCATGTATTCATAAAAGCACTGTAAAAGGCAGCAAAAAAGCTTTCCTACATTGGAGACCTTTTTTCTATTATTAAAATCTCACTTTTGTTCAGCCTGTGGATTAACAATAACTAATAGGAACAAAAAGATAATGTATTTAGACTTACTATTAGGGTCAGCTTGGACTAAGTAGGCATTGGCCTAGGATGCCAAAGAATAGAGTACCAACGTTCCCCATTTCGGAATCATTCTAAAATATATGCAAATATATGCATCAAATATATGCATCAGAAGTCTGAGGGAGAGACAAAGAAAATCCCTTTCTTCCTTCTTCCTTCCTTCTCTCCTTCCTTCCTGCCTCCTTCCTTCCATTCTCTGATCTTGCCAGCACAAAGCAAGTCATAATATAACTAACCAATTTCCTCTTTTCATTGACCTACATCAGTTCTTGATTTTTATTCACTCAGCCTCATTATTCCAACCTTTTCCCTTAGCCTCATTAGTATCTTCATATCTTTGCAAATAATTTTATCCCATCTGCTACAGTTATAACGAAGGAAGGAAGGAAGGAAGGAAGGAAGGAAGGAAGGAAGGAAGGAAGGAAGGAAGGAAGGAAATCCAAACTTGTTCATTCTTTAGCGAATTGCCTGCTCTTCTGTGAAATTGCAGAAAGAACAAATTGAATACAGAAGCTTTGATGAATTAAAATGCAGAAAAAATCATTTTGAACTGAAAATTTCCTGAAGATGCCGAAGAGTACAATTTTAATATACTGTATACTCAAATCTGCTCAGAAGTTTTCAATGTCTCCAATAGAAAAGACACATAAGTAGATGCATATATGATTTCTGCCCTAATTCCACTCAAAAGTTGTTAGCCTTAATTTATTACATGTTTCCTTTAAATACTTAGGGTTTATGTTTCTGAACATAGCTGAAATCTCTTGTCTATAATCACTTTTAGGTCAAAGGGAAATAAACATGCTTTTTGGTCATAAATTTCATCATAACTTACATGAAAACCATCTTTTATGATCTTCATACATGTGTATTTAACAAAAATGAATCATGTTTGTCAGAATGCCATGAAAGTAACAGCATTTCAGATAAATCTTGATTTCCATGCTGCAGCATTTCCAAAATGACATATAATTCCATTCATTTCTCCTCAAAAGTGCTGAATGCAGTAAGATATTGCTTGATCTGAGCATCAAGCTTTCCATAGTCCACCAATACTCCAGATCTTCCAATACCCACATTCATTGATTGCTTATTAGGTGTCTTCTTTACGGCTTTCAATCTCTACCTCTTTAAGGACATTCTTGGTTCACATAAAGAGCTGCAGCATTTCTATGCAAAGTTTAATGTAAAAACTGTGGTCTAGTTAAAATAGCAATAACTGCTGGGTCTGACTGGGTTCACCCTTTGCACTACATCCAAAGGAGGTTTGATGAATTTTGGCTTGCACAATCTATGAACCCAAGTAATGAACGTCGAATAAATTGTGGCTTAGTATAATCTGCAAGCCTGATCAATATCTTCTTGGCTCTATGCTAAACTAATGTAACTTCTGTGGTCAGTCTTCATGGCTGGTGCAAATTGGTCATACCTGATTCTTCCTACAACTGAAGTTATTGGACTTCATTTTTCATAATTCTTGGCTTCGTTGTTTGCATTTATCTCAGACATATGTATACCTCTAGTGAATATATAAAACCACAGGTTCTATGTCATAGGTTTTGAAAGCACACTCTCAGTTATGAAATACTAGTTGTGGAAAACTAATGGTGCAATAAAGAGGATAAGTTATTGTGTCATCACAAAAAAGCAGGCTCTAAAATAATTTATATGGGCAGAATATAAAAGAGGAATGCCTCTTTTAAGATGATGCCTGCCATCTGCTGGTATTGTATGATGATGCATACATGTTTCAGCAAAAGAGATGATCTCTTCCAACTGAAAGAATGTCTAATAGCCATGATGTTAATATCTTAAAAACAAACTTTTGGTATTGGGTGACAGAGAATTAAATAAACAAATATTTCCCCTATTTTCAAAAAACCAACTATAATCTCTACTGTAATAAAAGGCATCTACTTTATAAGTTAAAGAACTTTATGACAGGTCTAAAACTTCAGATTCTAATGGGCCAGAAAGCCTATTTTTTCTAGTTAATGGGGCAACAGTTGGAGTCCAACATAATTTGGAGCACCAGAGATTCTTCCCTCTTGGCTTTGGCTTAGCCCCCTTTTTTTTGTTAATAATGCAAATTATTTATTCTGTTTTCTCTTTGTGGGGGGATATTTTTTTATCCAACTATTTAGAATAAGTCCTTACTTAATGGCCAAGAAGAATATGTATTCATGCTATTGATGTTTATTATTATGCTAAGCATTCTCGATTTATAATGCCTTTTATTACTCATCAAGATATAACACTTATTACCATTTATTACTTTATTTCATTTTAAACCGAGTAATTTTTATTAAGTATTAACAGATGCTAAAGACTATTGAGTCATGCTTTTTTATTATTCAGAAGAAAGCTGTCATTTAGGGCCCAGTGTACAAATGTTGATACCATGCTGTCGGCACACTCACGCAATTATTGCTATTGTAGTCATGGCTGGTCATAAAAAAAATAAAAAACATCAGAAAGTGAATTTGATCAAAGGCTCAGAATGATCACAACCATTAGTGGTTCCTTTCTGGAACCCAAAAATATTTCTGCAAATAACCCTACTTCAAGCCTGTGCTTTTTTTTATAGCATATTGGATTTCTTATTTAAGTTTTCAATTAAAAAAAAATCAAATGTCAGTCGGGACAAAGAGCCTTCCAAGAAACAAAGGAAGTATCTGAGGAGTATTAGCGCCCACGAGCGCAACGATGCCTATCTCTACTTCAGAGAATCAAAGAAAACTAATTGCAGTACCAAAGAGGTATTAACAATGATTTTCCATCACAATTGAGCTTTCCTCCAACTACCGTACATGAGAGGAGGAGGCGGAGAAGGACTACAATTCCCAGTATGCCTCTCAAAAGTTGCACGAATACAAAAGGAGGAGGGAGCTGAGAACGATAAAGCGCCGCGCCGGAGAAACTGGAGAGGGTGTACGCATGCGTAAAAAGAACCTTCGGAGAGAATCTCGACGCAGGAACCCCTATTCTCAAAGAGGGCTTACTCCAGTCTTGGCCTATTCCCGCCCCGTTAGGAGCCGGCGCAACGCGACTTGCGTGCCGTTGTTGTGAATGGGGGAAGGCGGGGTTCTCCTACTCTTCGTGCATATGTGTGTGTGTGCGCGCGCGCGCGTGTGGCGGTAGTGGTGGCGGCAGCGGCAGCGGCGGGAGGAGGATGATGTCAGCCTGCGAATGTCAACAATGTAGCGATTGAGGCGAGTAGGCGGCGTTCCTTTGGGAAGAGCGCGAGCCACTGGGAGAGTCAGCGTAGCCTACAGAACGGGGGCCGCAGGAGCAGCAACGAGCCGCCGCCTTGTGCAGACAGCCCCCCGAGCTCTTCCGCGGCAGAGCAATTTCTGCCTGGCTCCCCTTCCTCCCCATTACACACACTCTCTCTCCCCATCACCCTTCTTGCTGCTGCTGCAGCCTCCGCCTCCTCCTCCTCCTCTAATTTCCCTCTTCCACCTCCCCGCCCCCTCCCTTTTATATGCATATGTGTTACTTTCCCCCCTCCCTTTCCCCCTTTTCTCTGCAAGACTTTGCCTCGGGAAGCAGCTGGGTTTGTTTTTGGTCGCTGCTGCTGCTGCTCCTGCTGCTCCTGCTGCTGGTTTGTTTCAAAGGAATCGGCTTGTGACCCTTTTTCGATGCACATTTTCGCCAGACCACCTCAGCAACCAGAGAGCCCTCAAAGGAGATTCGGGTCGCTTTCACCACCCAGGTTCTTTCGCCTCCTTTCAAACACTTGCGGAAAACACGCGGAGCCAGCGAAAGTTACGGTGCTAAAGGTGAGCCCCTTCCCTCTCCTCCCCCTCCTTTCCCTCTCGCCCCGTTTCCCGGTTTCCTCCCCCTCCGAAGGCTGGAGGCGAAGTTTGATGTCCGGGGCTGCCGATTTCGCTTTTCTGACGGGAACACCCCCCTCCCCTCCCCTCCCGGGTTTTGGCTTGTCGGGAGATGCTCCTGGGTCACAGGCAAGAGCACGCTTGCATTGCTGGACGTGGCTTGGAAATGCTTCCACACTTGACCGGTGCGGCGCATTCGCCAGCCCCGCTGCGGACAGTACGACCGGCGTCGATTTAGTTTTACTAGCGAACCTGCGGAAGGGTGGCTTTTATAGGGGGTTGGGGAGGAGCACAGTGGAGGGATGTGTGTGTGTGTGTGTGTGTGTGTGTGGAGTGAGAGGGAGCGAGCGGATTACGGCGGGTCAGTTTTAATTGTATTAAAGCTTCTATCCCGTCGCGCTGGAGTAAAAGTGATGAGTGAGCCGAGCAGGGATGGCTGTTTTGAAGGAGCTGCAGAAGGAGGAGCTCAGAATAGTAAGTCTGGCATCAGAAGGAATGGCGGGGGGGAGGGTCGGAGAAATCGCTCCCTCCCCCCCCCCCCAGGTTGCGAAGCCCTTTTATCAAGCCGAGAGGGAGGGAGGGGACGCTATCAAATGCGGACCGTCATTTTACGCTCGTGCTTTTTTTGGGTGCCTTGTAGTTTTGGTCCTTCTACTCTAGAGAACCTAGAGGACTTCAGTAACGTCGTGTGGTGGTTCTCCAAAGAGGTGGGAAAAGCTCACCGTGCCTTAAGACAAGTTGCAATAAAGAAAGAGGCTGGTCTGGAAGGGAAGCGGGGGACCTGCTCAGATTCCTTTTGGCGTTGGCTAGAATAACGGGGAGGCTGGTGGGAGAAGGGGGGAATAAAAGAGGGGCTGGAAGAGAAGGAAGGATGGGCGAGAGTGTGTGTTTGTTTATTCAGTCTGGGTGGCTAAAAGCTTCCTGCCAGAAAACCCATTAAAGCTGTCTTGCACAGGCAAGGCACATAAAGCTGGCTTCATTATTCCCGGGGCTTCTATACCAGTTCTTCCAATAGATTTTCCTATTCACATTCTGAGGTGCATTGTGATATCAGTCTGGTCAGCGCTGAGTTCCTTTACACACACACACACCACTCCATGTGGAGGTGAGGTTACTATACTACACCTTCTTGTGTGTTTAAAGACAGCTTGTTTTTGAAGCTTGCTAGTTTCATTATTTTCCTTTGGGTTGTCTTCATTCTTTTCCTTGGCAAATGCAGTTATAGGGAAAAACAATTTGTGTGTGTGTGTGTGTGTGTGTAAGTATGCCTACTTGACATACCACCACTGATTGCTAAGTTTTTGATGTATTGGTTAGTTATACAAACTGAACTGCAGAGTGACTTAATTAGAGGAAGCATCTTTGTGAAGAGAATAAGTGGGCACTTTCTTGTCTATAGGCAGTCTTTAGTTTTTAATTGTGGCTCCTCTATCACCTTAATCTGCTGAGTTGCACAGCAAAAGGGTAATTACTTCCCACTGCAATATCTTCCTTGCCTCCTGGGATGTTTGAAGAAGATAATGCCTAATGAAAGACTCTGCATTTTCCCCACTGACTCAGGTATAAGGTGAGAGATGTGAACTGCAATGATTTTCCCAGATTATTACAAATGTAACATATAAACCACACAGCTAACTGCAGTGACTATTAGGAAGTAAGCTAAATATGAAATCATGCTTCTCTTTTTGTGGAACAGGTTATTTTTGTAACATAGTGGCTGTCTTTTTTAAAACACGTTTAAGTGAAGTTTAAAAGAATTCATCAGGCTTTCAATGATGGTAGTCCACACAAATCTGGAATAAACTTTTAAACTGAGGTAACAGTTGCAAACACAATTTTAGAAAATTTTATTGAAAAGTAATTGTGAACTGTAGTATTTGCAAACTAACATATTATATAGCATAAAGTCTATACATTGGACAGCACACTGAAGTCTTATGCAATTTTACTTAGAGGACTCGTGAAATTTAGTAAATTAATGCCCCCAGTTTAGGGAATATTTTTGTATTAGGAGATACCTGGATTGATTTTACTAAGAGACAAGTAAAACTAGAAGCTAAAGTGGAAGCATTAATAATGAACATTAACTTCAGTCTTTGGGGCATATAATGTGAAAGTAAGAACCACTGGAAGAGAAACTCAAAGGTAGTTGAAAAAGAGGACAAGGTAGCTGGATAATAGAGTTGATGACACAAGTATTCAAAAACTCAATTCTTGACAGACTTGATGAAGTGATTATGCATTGGATCTCAAGGAGTCACCGTATAACAATAAAGATACATTTGGAATTTTGTGAAAACTCTTACAAAATTGCTGCTATGAAAAGGCTTATTGTCATAAGCTCAGAGATGGCAAAGAGCAATTCAGTTCTTTATTTGCTTACACACAAGAGACAGAATCTTGCCAGATCAAACCCTTATTACTCTTACCCTAATCTAGGGAGTGGCTAGCCTAACTCTCTTCTTCTATCTCCTAACCAGCTCTGGGCTACGCTGCCTGTTGTCCCTCTCGCCTTTCTGGAATGTGCTCCCTCCTTTCTGTGCTGGTTCACTATAGTCCATCACACCAGCTCCCCCTCCGTGAGCACCATCTCTCACACTTGCACAGTTACAGAACACAAAAAACAAATTACACTAGAGTAGCTTTTCCTTATCATCCCCTTAGGCTCCCTTAATGCCCTCTATTACCACCAACTTTGTCTTTGTGGATTTGCATGCTAACAAAAACCCAGGCTACAATTGCCCAGCATCTGAATGCTCTTCATATGTCTGTGGATTTGTGCAAAGTGCAGAGGCATTCTTACAATTAAATGTAATGTCAGAAGCTGAGATTTTATTTTACATCATGCCACATCTTTATTTTTATTGTAAAATTTTAGAAGATGGGTCAAAAAGTTTGATGGGTACTAATTCTGCACACGGTGTTGAATAAATCTGGCTGTATTGGTGTGGTGAGTCAGGTGTCATATACATTTCTCTAATAAATAAATTGGTTCCTATAGCTACCATATTACCTATTTTTTTTTGTCTTACTATATAATGCTTTTTACTCTCTCCTGAATCTACAATCCTGTGTGTATTTGCCTGAGATGAAGCCTGTGTAGCACAATAGGACTTACTTCTGAGTAAATATATTGGATATAAAGATCCTAAACTACAAATCTGTAGTTTCTTTGTTGCTCTATAAAAATAATTGAATATAAAGTTATAGAATATATTTAATATAAAATTTACTTATCTAGAATACACTTAATAAAAGACAGGTATAGTTCCCATGTAATACAATGATGAAGAAACAGAGATAACAAATTAGGTGGATGTTTTGCTCCTAGGTAGCCATGGGATCTTTCAAAGTAATATTAAACTACTTTGATTAGCATTATATCAATGAGTTCATTGAACGTAATGGATATGTTCTCTCTAATCATTGTAATCATCTGTCCTCTTCGTTAACAAGAACTGGACACAGGGAACGTACTCCATCACTAAGCAATGCAGTTGTTAAGCATGTTAGGCAAATCTCACATAGTTGTTAGATGTGATTTCAAGTGATTGCCATTAGTGATCACCTGCCGGGCTCCCCATTAACTTTGCTTGTCTGTGGTGAAGATTACAAATGGAGATCCTGTAACCGCAGAACACTGTGATGGCTGCAGCTTAACTTTTGACTGGTTGTTGAACGAATGGCTGTTAATCAAGGACTATCTGTGCACTCAAGGGATAATTGTTCCATTTTAAAGCAGAAGTGTTCTTTCTAGTATATTTAAAAATCAGAATGTTATTTAATTGAGGCTAACACTTGAAACAAGCCAGAACTAGTCTTGCTTAATTTGAACACCATAATTTAAATTTGGGGGGGGGGGAATGCAATTTCCAGGTGGGATACAGTGTTTGATGTAATGCTGTGCAGGTATCATAGTTACTTTGCTATTTGGTTTCCCACTCTATATTTATTGACATTTCTAAAATGCCCAGTTCATGAAATCCCCCCCCCCCATCATAGAGTCATTTGAGTGCAAAACCTAGACTGTGTCTGCAGCTTAGGGATCTATAACTGAGAAAGTTATAGAACGGGGAAGGGTGTCAAACTGCCGGCCTACGGGCTGGATGCATCATGCCAAAATCATGCCCATCCCATTGTCATGATACATCGCCACATGTCAACTGATGTAGTGAGTTTGATACCCCTGTTATAGAAAGTTATGGGAAGTCTTGCAGGAACAAGACTTTTAAGGAAATCAGCTGCCCAAAATTTAGCCATAAAATCCTTTGAAGGTATGACTGCTGAAAGCAGCTACAAAATTTGTAAGTAAGGAGCAGACTGAGAGTTAGGAGAGAGACTTTATCTTTCTCTGCCTAGTATTCTCAACTTTGTATGCAAACATGTATGAATGAATCAGTATTTGCTCATGATGCTAGCCATGTGACCCTTAAGATCTACCAGCGTGAATTTAAACATAAATTGTAGTTTTGTTTTTTAAAAAAAGTATTTTGAATTCCTTGTCTTGAATCTTTTGTTAAATCCACTGTTTTAACTATTTTCTTTATTAGTTTTAAAGCGAAAGATATAATGTCCACCCATTTGAAACTCATTCAGGTATCTTTTTGATATGGGAATATAATTTGATTTGTACACAATTTGATATTCATAGCATTTCGTACAGTTGCATTCACCTGCATAAATCCATGTGTGGATTTAAAGACAACCAATCTTTATTATGAAATGCTAGGTTATTGTAGTGAAATAAAGTATGGCAACAGACATAGATTTTTTTTCCAAAAAGAATGCTGACATTACTAGAAGGCATCACATCTCCCTCACATTTAAAAACTTCCTCTTAGTATAACTAGAAATCAGGTGTTGCATTGGAAATGTTAACACTTAACAGCAACATTGTTAAAGAGAAGGGTGTTTTTTTTTAAAAAAAACCTGCATTATAAGTGTGG